AATCAGTTTGTATGAACAGTAAAAATAGTTCGTGGGTTAAAACTAAAAAGACTTAACAGTAATTCCAATCCAAGTCAAGCTTGTAAAGCAAGTTTCACTCTCCTTTTGACATCTAATTACTAGGAGCGCAACTTGGGTTGGGTTGAAGATTGGGTTAGGGTTGAAAAATATGAACCCAACTTAACTTTGTGGGTTGGACTAGGGTTGAGGTCTTGGGAAACCCAATTCTACATGCCTTCATATGTATGTATCAGTAATTTTGAAGCAAAGATTTATTACTGTGACGTAAGTATACTAATAAAAAACCATAAGTTTGTCTCGGTACATATATTATTTCTAATGCTACTTAACCATAACTGACTAATACTAAAGTCTAAAAGTAAGAACAGTTTTATTTATTTATTTATTTTTCTAAAAACTAGAAAGTGAAGAAATTGGCCAACCCAACATCATCAGGTTGGTTTACAGTTAAGATTAGGGTTGTTGACCTCAACCTAACCTAACCTAGCCTCATAGTTTTCAAGGCGCCAAGGCAAGGCTAGGCGACAGGGGGGCGCCTTGTCGCCTAGTCACCTAGGTGATGGATTTTTTTAAGTAAAAACATGTATTCTAGGGTAGTTCCCTAGGTTCCATAATCATATTTCCTTAATAAATATTCATAATTTTCATAAGAAAAGTATAAACTTCATGTTAAAGTATAGAAAATCAGCATATTTCAACATATTCATGAGAAGAGAAAGAAGAAAGAAAAGAAAATTCAAAAAATATAGGGGCTAAACCCCTATTTCTGTTATAGGAATTAGGAAAAGAAGAAAAGAAAAGGTGGAAGAAGAAGAAGAAGAAATTAGTATATAAACACACAAAACTAATAAAGAAAAGGAAGAAAATGTGTTGCTTGGACAACATTTTATGTTCTTCCTTACTTATTGGTTCAGATTTTGAAGTCTTTGAGGGTTCAATACAGCATTTAGCAATGTTTGTGTTGATTAAACCCTAACAAATAAGAAAATAATAAAAAGAAATTAGGATATAAACACACAAAATGAATGTTTTAGTTTAAAAATGTCTATTTTATAAATATAACCTCAAAAAATTAAGAATATAAAAGTTTTTTATAACACGCTGTAGAAAACTGCTTGGCGATTAGGCAAGGCGAACCTCCAAGGGCACCTTGTCACCTTGACAACTATGCCTGGCCTGAGTTGCACCCTTACTAATTACAGCTAAACTTTAAAACAGAACAAATAACTATAGAGGATCAACTGACTGCAAAAATGTTAAAATAATTCATAATATGCCTAAGGTATTTAGCTAAAGTAGAAAAATAGCAACAAATCAACACACGCTTGACAACTTATAGAACTAATAAACTAAAAGAGGTAAAAATGGAACTCCCTATTCATTCCTAAACACCTAAAGTTCTTCTAAAAGACAACTTGTAAGTTCCAAAAAACAAGTACTATAGTAGCCACATTTTCTTCCTGCATTAATTTTCTGTTTGCATCCACAAGTACCCAAATGCTAAAGTATTGGTAGGAAGCCCATTGATACCAACTGGGAAAAAGCAGACCATTTATACATGATTTAAGAAGGTTTTGAAAAAAAAAAAAAAAAAACTAAGTAAACAATAGAAATTCATGGCAGTTTTTTCTCTAATATTTTGATCAGTAACAAGATCAAAGATGCATAAACAATTCTAATATCAAGAAAATATACATGGAAAGATCATGTGCTACCTAGCTAGATGACAGGCCACCCCTCCCCCAACCAAATAGCCAATGCACCCAAAACAACTAACCTGGGAAAGGCTGAACCTCATTCTAAGCCACTTTCTTTTCCCCTCCCCTAGCCAAGCTGTCAGCAAGCTTATTGACCAACCTTTAGATCCAGGAGAACAACAAAAGGGCCCTTGCCTCCATCTTTCAAGTTTCATCCACCCATTGACAACCTGAGAATCCCTACACTCCCAATGTTCACCCAAGTAAAACCTGAGCATATCAGATGTAACTGATAGCAGGATTATGTATTTATAGAAACGGATTTATTTTGTGTTTAAAATAGTACTTCGTTTATAAATAAAGAACTTGGGTTTGGAGTAGTCAGCAAGCTGAGATGCAGGATAGGGAATAATTCTCCTTTCTATGTGCAGCTGATAGGCAGGCCTATATAAGCTTGACTGTCGCATATAATAAGAAAATCTTGAGCATAAACTGTATAATTCAGATACTTTAAGCTAGGATTCAATTTCATATTCCAAGAGTAGAAAACACAAGTAGGGTCAATGAGAAAGAAGATTAGAAAAAGAATAGAGATAACACAAGAATTAAGGTTTAAGAGAGAGAAAGATCTGGAGGGCAATGAACCAATCTTTCAGAAACACAAATCTATTCAATCTATTTCTTCACTAACTCAAAGAACAACATAACAATTATAGTATGAGATGATAGAGGTCAGTAATACTGTCACTGTCATTTTGAATTTACCCCTGCACCTAAGAAGATTGAAGAAAAACACCATGAATTGGCTCAACACCAGAGCCAACTTAAAATACAAAATAAAATCTAAAGTAGTGACAATACTCATGGCAAGACCAAATAGACTTGTAAAAGTAACTAAAATACCTCTAGCTCCAAAAAACTTAAAATGATAAAAGAATATACAATCTTCTAGCTTGTGGTCAATCATGCAGCCAATGGTTTTATCTGACTAGGAATTTGCAAATGAGACTATCCATGGAATCCTTAACTCTTTTACATGGTGTAAATGGTCTTTGTTTTGTTTCTCAAATTGGATGACTTCTCCATGTACAGACTTTGAATCCCCACTAAGTTTCTGGTAACTCCAACAATTAGAATTGTACCAGTAGGTGAACTACATAAGGCCATGAGGCTACAGTAAAACCTTGCTGCACCTGTAGATTAAGGCTTGGACAAAAATAAGAACTTTTTTCTAGGAAAATGGGACTATACAATGATGGCTAGTATTTATCATTACAGACTGTTTACTAAAGGAAGACAAACAAAAAGAAAGATAAACCAGGAGTGTGATGTAAAAGTATCTAGACCTAAGAGAAGAAAAGATGCATATTAAGAGCAAAACAAATAATATGAAATAATGGTAAAAACATAACAATAAATAAATTTTAGGCAATGACAAACATTGGAACATCTTCTAGCATGAGTCTTCAACAAGGCTAGGTCTATGGAAAGCAAAATTGCTAACCCAGGTGGGCAGGACCACCATGATAAAGTCCACACTCCAAGCCATGCCTACATACATCATGTTCATACCATAGCATGGAATTTTCTGTGTAAACCAAAAAGTATGGGTGGCCTAGGTTTCAGAAGGATGAAAGAGTTCAACCAAGCTCTGTTTTCCAAGCAAATTTGGAGGTTGTTTACTGGAGAACATGGCTTATGGAGGAAAGCAATAAAAGAAATCTCTGTTCTCCTTAAAAAAAAAAAGATAGGAAGACTCTAAATGGTGGAAACAATTATTATCTTTGTGGGACAAAATAAAAGCAAACACCATTTGGCAAATAAGAGATGGCTCTTCAATATATATATCTGATCCATGGGTTCCGTCTCTCCCTAATGGAACTCCTGAAGTTCAAATAGAAGCTCAGAGCCAGAACATTAGCATGACTGTGAATGACCTCATTTCTGATTTTGGTACATGGGAGGCACAGAAAATTGAATCCTTATTTACAGAAAACTGCAGACTGTACATTCTGCAAACATTGATTTCACATCATCTCTCAACGGACAAGCTCCTATGGAAATCTTAGAAATCTGGGGAGTATGATGTAAAGTCAGGGTACAGATTCTTCGGGTACACGAGCATCATCTTCTGGACATCAAAGAAATTGGAGTCTCATATGAAAATGCAAAGTCCCTATGAGATTTCAAATCTTTATGTGGAAAACTTGGTGGAATGGCATTAAGACTAAGGACAGACTACACTTCTTAAATGATGAAGAGAATAAATGCTCTCTGTGTCTTATGAATATGGAGACATGGTAACATGTTTTCTTTGAATGTGCTTATTCTCGTGCTATTTGGATCTCAGCTTCTTTGGGCATAAATCCAGATAGAGTTAAGAATAAAGCTCTTCATGAAATTATATTGGAGTGGATTGAATCTAAGCTGAATGTTTTAAATAAGGATGAAAAGCAGCTTTTTTGTGGCTAAGTTTTTTATCCTTTTTAGACTGATATGGGATATAAGGAATTCAGCTCTGCATAACAAGTCTGTACTGAACCCACTTCAGCTGCTAGAAGCTATGCACCACTTCTTACCTTTGAACATAACTGTTCAAGACTCTCACCCAAGCTTTATGCACTCACATATAAATGCTTCAACAAAATATAAATTGCTCATTGATGGTTCATTCATATCCACATCTGTATTAGCAGGAACAGGAGCTGCAATCTTCTCAGCAAATGATGGTATCATGGTACAATATTCACAGGAAGTAACAGAGTTGCAGCAACAAACCCCCTCCAAGCGGAATGGTGAGCTCTCCTCCACAGCATACAATATGCTCACCGACTGAGACTAAAGTCTCTCTATATTTTCTGACTCAGAAAGCTTAGTCAACAATTTCTACAAGAATGATGAAGATGACTGGCTTATCCAGCCTACGAAGCAGCAAGCTTTACAGCTACTAGTATGTGTAAACCATGTAAATAGATATATGAATAGGGTTGCATGAACTGGCCTACAATGCATGTAAATATAGTATGGTTGTAGAAAACCCGTGAAACCCAAGACCCTTTTGTACTGATATTTCTTGATCAATGATAGCTTTCTGAGTTTTCTTTTGGAAAAAAAAAAAAAAACAAGGCACTATTGCCACTTTGTGGCTCCACTATTGTTGGTCTCCTGAGTATATTCTATTGGAAACAATTTAAGGAAGACAACAGAAATAGAAAAAAAAATACAAACAGAAAAACTTCCTTATTCGAAAGATGAAAGAAAAGGAGTCGTCGAGGATCCGACCTTGAAACCAAGAGGGTAGTCACCGTTGAGGGGCCAGAGTCCTCGTCGGACGTAACGGTCGGTAGAAGAGACCCGTCTTAATAAATCGAGAAAGAAACCAACGGCAAGATCGGCAACGTCCTCGGAGAAGGCGGTGCCGGCATTAGTGACAGAAATTCCCCTCCGGCGGCATTCAGCCAGGTCGATGTGGTCGACGCCGGCGCTGGTGCCAACGATACACTGCAAAGAAGGGAGAGACCGGATGGTCTCAGAGTCAACAGGGAAGATGCCCACAGAGAGCAAGGCTCTTACGGACTGAGCGTGGGTGGTCAAGAATTCGTGGGTCGACATAGACTTGGCTTCCCATGGCATAAGAAACCGAAACTTCTTCAATAATTCACCCTTTGTTAAAAATAATAGTGGGTGAAGAAGCAGCACAACTGGCAGTTCTTCTTCTTTCTGTTGCTCTGTTCCCATTTTTTCAACAGCTGAAGAAGCCATTGGTCATGATTCCCATTTCCCAACTCGTCTTTCGTTTTATATTTGTTGATCCTCTGTTCGACTGAGACGGACGTCACCAAGGAAAAAAATTCCTCTTTTATCCTTTTCTTTTATTCTTTTATTGTTCAATCTAACAAACGATAATTCAGACGGACCAGACCAGTCTCCACCTGCCCACCATACTAAACAACCTAAATTCATGATCCATCCAAACCTGACGGTCTTAGCCGCCACCACCCACCAATTATCAGATAGTTGGAACTTGGAATCACGTGCCTTATTGCCTGCGGGACCAGACGCTAATTAGCCTAATACCAGTCTTACGGTAGAAATGGAGATGATTAGAACTTCAGTTGGGACTGCAGACTGTAAAATCAATCTGGGAGTGGGAGTTGATCCCATCTGATCTGAAACTGGTGAATCAGCCCCAGTGGAATGATTGAATTAATATATATTTTCACCAAATTGCATAGAAACGGTAGACATCAAACCAAGAAGATAGCGAGAAAAGAGAAGGAAGGAGAAGACGGACCGACCTTGTGACCGAGACGAAAGTCTCCCTGGACAGGCCAAAGCCCCCGACGGACATAGCTATCGGCAGCCGAGATCCTTCTAAGGACATCGAGCAACAGCCCAACAGCATAATCGGCGACGTCCACCGAGAAGGCGTTCCCGGCGTTGGCGACGGCTATACCCCTTCGACGGCACTCCCCCAAGTCGATGTGCTCCACGCCTGCACTGGTGGTGATGATGCACTGGAGAGAGGGAAGGCAGCGAAGCATATCGGAGGTGACGGGGGTGAATCCTGCACAGAGGAGGACCCTAGCCGATTGAGCGTGGGTGGACAAGAAGAGGTGAGCGGGCTCGGAAGACTCGAATACATTGAGAGGTTGGAACTGCTTAGAAAATCTTTCCTTGTGAGAAGGGAAGTAAGGGAAAGGGCGGAGCATCACAACTTGATGTAGGTGCTGCCGCACCTCTGCGTCTTCAGCCATGCGTCTGGTCTTTTAGCTACTTGAAATCTGAAGAATTCAACAAGTAAACAGCACAGCACAGCAGGAAGCGAACAACAAACAGGGAAATTTCAATCTTGCCTTGTGGGTTGCATTACCCCTCTCAATTGAATTGCAAAAAAGTGAGAGAACAGTAAAATCAAAACTCAGGGTCAGGGGCCACCATTTCTAATTTGAGAGCGGAAAAGGTGGTTGACAAGTCAACAACAAGACAACTACCTCGGCTCGAATACCGAAGAGAACAAAAAGCCAACCACCTCTGCCCCACCAGTCCACCACAACTCTTTTAATGGCAATGCAGCATAGCCGATGACGGAAGCAAGACAGGGAACCAGTTCGATGGTGTTTTGGTAAAAAGGAATCTACCCAGTTCTAAGGTCATTTTGCTGAAAGTAAGCAAATGGATAGGTTTTACCTGTAATCAAAAGGAATCGACCTTGATCCGGGTAGGGTCTAATTTCAAATTTTTGGAACCGATCCCCTTGGGCCAGCTTCAGGGTCTAGGGGTTAGGGCTGTTCATAAGAATGCCCAACCCGACCAAACCGACCAACCCGGATCGGTCTAACTTGAGTCGGCCGGGTTTTTATCAGTATCGGTTAGTTTCGGGTTGGGAAAATATATAAACCGATATATCGGGTCGGTTTTTCGGTTTTCTTGTGTGAAAACCGAAACCAACCCGACCCGAACCGAACTAGTCTGTAGTTCCCAGTTTGAATAGTTTCCTACTTAACTATAACCAGTCTTCTACTAGAACTAGAAGGCCCATTAGACAATTACAATTAGAATAGGCAATCTATCCTAGTTTCTAATTTTCTATAATCTTTTACACTAAATAGGCAACCCATTAGGCAATTACAATTAGAATTCAATTAGGTGTCCTTTTGTACAGGAGCAAAACCCAAACCAACCCAACCCGACTCAAACCGACCAGGTCGGTTTGGCCTATCAGTGGATCGGTTTCGGTTTCCACCTCAGGTAACCCGACCAAGTCGGATCGATTGGGAAAACCCCAATAAATCGACTCAACCCAACTCGTGAACACCCTTACTAGGGGTCTATCTTATCCGCCGATTTGATGAATCAATAAATCGAAATTGTCTTTAAATAAACTTCAAAATATTTTTAAGGGTTTGAAGATTTAATCACTGATAGTTACAAAAGCCATGGGCCTAGTTGATACCGCGATTTCTAAACATGTGGCTAAAATAGATTGGGCCAAATTAAAACGATTGAGGAAAATTCTATTTAGGGGTAATCAAACTGTGGGCCTATTTTTGAAATAAAACTAATATTAAAATCGGTAATCGAAACTAAATCGAAGCCAATCAATTAATCAGTCAGTTTGTCAGTCTTTTATATTTATAATATATATTTATAAAAATATATATAAATATATAATAAAAAATTAGAAATATATATAATATTATATTTTAAATAACAAATAATATGTTATATATTATAAATATATATTTATATATAATGTATATTTATTAATTTAAAATATTTAGAAAATATAAAATATATATAACGTACATAAACATACATAAAATATATAGAAATATGTATATACCGATCAATTCAGTTAACCACTGATTTTCTATATTGGTTAACCAAAACTGAACCGATACCTTCATTTTTTAAAATACCAAACCAACTGATTTGGTTAACCGGATTTTCGTTTCACTTTTGATTGCCTTTTCAGCTTTTCTTGCTCACCCCTAAATTCTATGGTTATTGGATAGGATTTATATAAATACATTAATCCGGCATAAATTAGAGTCAAATCGATTATTCATTAATTAGCTAGAATTTTCTTAGTAATATCATTAAATAATTTTTACAAAAAAGTAAATATAAGAAGACCCTACAAGATGGAGATCCAAAACATTATAAATAGGGCCTCATACCCATATAGGGATCTTGATTAAATAAACCCATTAAGAGGGATGGAAGACCCACTCTCTCTCTCTCTCCCCCTTAACCACCCACCTCTACACATCACCGCCATCTTCCTCCGAACTTTTAAAGTTGCCAACACTTGGATTCGACATTGAATCTTTAGAGTCCATTAAATCTAACCAAGGATTAAGGTATCGATACGATACTCTCGATATGGGGCATATCGTACACTATCCATTATAGATACAGGATACGTTCCGACTGGATATGTATCCTACAAGTCGTGCGTACCGGTATGATATGCCTCCGTATCAGGCCGTATCACACTATATCTGTGGATACGGTCCAATACATACCGATACAGAGGCGTATCTGTGTCTAGTTCGACAAAATTGTACATTGAGTACTTTTGGATTGTTCTTCATCTTTAAAACAAGTTAAAAAATAGTATTATGAAAACTAAAATAAATAATTTAAGATTTATTTTTTCCAAAAAATTAATAAAAACTAAAAATATAAAAATAATATATTTCATCTATCTTAGATGATTTATATATTTTATTTTACACATAATTATATGTTAAAAATGAAAACATAGTTATTATATAAAAATACTAAAGAAATAAATTTTTCCAACAAAATTAATGGAAAACATAAAATTGTAATTATAAAAACTAAAACGAATAATTTAAGATTTAATTTTCCCAAAAGATATAATAAAAACTGAAAATTAAATATAATTTATTTATCTACCTTAAATGTTTTATTTGTTTTATTCTACAATTATGTGTAAAATAAAAACATTATATGTTAAAAATGAAAACACATTTATTATTTAAAAAAATAGTTGTTATTTAAATAAAATACTAAATTAATAAATATTCCCAAAAAATAATAAAAATTGAAAATTATAATTATAAAAATGAAAGAATGATAATTATTGTACAATGTTTGAATGTTCTAGAGTCCCGGTATTATTTATTGTAATATTTCTCTTCATTATAACCTATTGAAGTATGCATTTCTCATGTCTTTATATCTTATTCATAGATAATTCAGCTTTCGATTTAGTATTATTAATGTATTTATGTGATTTGTATGCATTTCACTAGCATATCCAAGCATTTCTATATCTTTTGTTTGTATCCATGGGTTGAAAACTTTGCCCATAGAAATAGAACTTTTAGTTGGATTTGGGATCATATCAAATTTGAATAGGGGTATATTAATTTGACAAATAATTGGATATCCACTTATGAATTTGTTTTTTTTTTTCACTTCATGGGGTTACACAACAGAGGTAGCCCATCCCCCATCCCCCATCCCCCATCCCCTTAACTCTCAACCTTGGTTGCAGCAGGATATGCTCCTAGATCTTTGCTACAACAAGTTAGAGATCCTATCAACTGAGCCACCATCGGTTGGTCCAATAATGAACTTGATTTGATTCAATTAATTTGATAAATGAAAATTGAAAATAAAATTAGGAGAAAAATTAGAAAGATGACCTCTCGTTACCATCACCTAGAAAGGAAAATGGTTTCATTTTTGGATTTTTTTTTTTTAAATTTTGTATTTCATTTACATCATTAACAAAAATAGGAGTTTAATTAGAGTGGGATGATCGGGTTTAAGGTCAACCAAGGAGCAACCCAAGTATTTGGGTTTAAGGCCCAAGCTCAAACCAAGCATGAGGTCAAGCCTGATCTGTTCACCCGTTCACCCAAGAGTACTTGCATTGAAATTTGACATACTCGGGTTGGGCCTTGGCCCAAGCCAAGCTCAAGTTGACCAAATTGGGCTTATGCTGGCCTATTAGGCCAAATGTAGTAAAATGTTTCATTAACCTATTCATTATCAATAGCTTGTGCCTTTAAATCGGAAATTTATATATTTTGCTTGCATACATGCATGCATATATGCATTCATGCATGTATGCATGTATGTAGCTGAGCCGGGCCGGGCTTAGGTTGGGCTTGCGCTTAGGGAATCAAGGGCTAGGCACGAGCCCAACCTAAAAAGTAGGAAAAACCTAGGTTTTAGCCTGAGAATTGAAAATCCAAGTTGAACCCATGCAAAATTATGGATTAAGTTGCTCCAATCAAGTTGAGCCCACCGCAAGTTACAACCTAAATAAAAACAATTCTTTCCATATTTTTGTTAAAATTTTTTATTATTTAATTATGACATCATGGACAACTATGTTTTATGGAGTGGAGTTTTGGGTAGTCAAGAAACATTATGTCCAACAAAAAAAAAAAAAGATAAGATAAGAAGCATCAAGTCCAAAAAATGAGTCTAGACCCCTTCCTCCTCCGACTCCTTTTCTTGTGCTTCGTTTTTTGAGACCTTAGTTCAGCCTACTATTCCTCCTGAATTGTCCTTCCCTACTAAAGAGATTTGGAGCAAACCTATTCCTCCTCGGATTGGTAGTTTTTGTTGGGAAATTTTCTTGGAAAGAATTAACACAAATGATTTGCTTCAAAGAAAGAGGCATAATTGTTGTTTACTTCCCAATAGGTGTAATCTTTGCAAAGCTGATGGAGAAACAGGTTACCACATTATGGTTACTTGTCCAAATACTAAAACTGTTTGGAAGTTGGTGTTTTCTCTTTTTGGGTGTACTTGGAATCCCCCCGTGAGTGTGCAATGCTTGTTCTCTCACTCGTTCTTTAGATGGCCTAAGAAAAGGGGGAAGGTTATGTGAAGAAGCATTAGGGCTGCAATGTACTTGTCAATATGGGTAGAGAGAAACTTGCAGATATTTTCAGACAAGGAAATAACCACAAAAAACTTAATAGAACTAATACACTTAAGGGTAGCTCACTGGCTGAATTCTATGAAGATATTCTCTGAATTTTCTGTGGCCAACTTATTGAGAAAGTGGAAAGAGGTAGCTACCTATGCTCTTTGTAAGAGGACCTATAGACCCTCTTAGATCCCCCCCCCCCTTCCTACTAGATTCATAAAATTGAATTTTGATGAAAGTAGCTTAAGGAATTCAAGGCCTTTTGGGATTGGGAGTGTGTTCAGGAATGAGGAGGGGATTATTATTGCCATGTTCTCAGGACCAATTGGAGAGAATGACTCTCTTAGGGCCGAGATTTTAGCAATTCTTGAAAGAATCCAAAGGACAAGAAAATTAAGCATCAGATGCTTGATTATTGAAGGGGACTTGGAGGTGGTGATTAGGTGGCTGAAAGGAGACGACAGTTGTTTGTGATGCTACAGCAATGAAAAGAAAAAATTTAAATGGCTGAATAAAAATATAGAGGTGAAGTACAATTGGGCGAAGAGAAGTGCTAACTCAATGGCTGATGGGTTAGCTAAGCAAGGGGTGGCTAAGGAATCTCTGTTTTGGGTTAATTTTTAGTTTGTTCTTTATTTTGTTGTTAGGGAGTTGAGATAGTTTACCTCCCCCTTTTCTGTAATTAAAGTTTCTCAAATATTATTCATTAATAAAGCTTTTTGTTATTGATAAAAAAATTGAATGTCATAAATGTGAATTTTAAGATGGACAAATAAAAGACTAGAAAAGATGGGATTAAGAATCAAATTATTTGTAGGAATCTAAGAATAGCTCCAATAGGTGATAAAATGAAAGAGAGAGAGAGATGCTTTTGGGTATGGGAATAGAAGACCACCAAAAACGTTAGTTAGAAGTGATTCTTACACATTAAAGGGGCTAGAAGAGCTCGGGATAGACAAAAAAAAGACATGGGTAAAAGTAGTAAAAAATGATTTAAGTATTAATAAATTTAATAGTGGATATGACTTTAAATAAAACAAATTAACAAAACGGGATTCAGGTAACCAACACCATATAATTGGGAAAAGGCATGAGATGATGATGATGAGTTATGATGGGTTGGCCCATTTAACCTCACCGTTCAAATTGTCATACCATATAGCGGATCCTGAAACATTTAAACATATTAAACCATAAAAATGTGTTCTCATACCGTGCATTAAGAATATCTTCCCTTAGAACATAAACATACAAGTACGGTGATATTCCCAATGCACGACTTCAAGGGCTGTGAGGACAAAATTCGAATTCCACCGAAGCAACAGCAGAAGAGATGGGTTGATAGGGTTCACCTGAAAACACGCATCGTTGATAAAACAAGGTCTCAGACAAACAAATCAATAAATTTAATATTCCCAGTGTCTCTTGGATTGAGTAAATTTTGCAACCGCGGTTGCCTCAACTCAATATCACCAAAATAATTCACAAATTCAAATAAAAAGATGGAACAGCATATGCCATGGACGTATAGAAAATCATTAACTTTCTTTACAGGGAGGATATCTAATGGCAGATCCACTGGCTCAATACAGACGAACAAAAAACAAAGGCAAATGATAAGAGCAAAATAACAGATAAGGGACTTTACAATTAGTGTAAAATGTAATTACAGCGAAGGCATGAACAACCAAATCAAGGATATGCTTAACTAGAAGGCACATAGGGCTCAAACAGTTTCACGCAAGGATCAGGATCAAATTGCATGATATGGGCAGCTCGTTCGAATTCCTCCCTCAAAGTTTTTATGCTATGCTTGTCCACAACTCGACCCAAGTCATGAGACACTTCAAAAGGATCTTCTATGCATATTAAATGGCGGTCATTCCCAATACGCCTTGTCCAGTCCTTGGCGCGTTTGCTGTATGAACAAACATTACATGCAATTCATAATCACCTAGGAAGACAAAAAAATGGTGCAATAACTCTGGTTCTTATTTAGATCATACATCAGGTTCGCTAGTTGAGTTGTTTAGTGAACATTCTTAAATCACCCAGGAAGATTCCTCCCCTCCACATGGTTAAAATAAAGTTGGCCATGTAGGGGAAGCTTTTTATTTGGCCCATTTCTCCCACAGCAAACAACTATGAGGAAAAGGTGGCAAGTGTTATTAAGAACCTTGTGTAATCATGTGTGAACAGAACAACATTGGAAATAGGCCCTTTGCTAAATGCTGTGAAATCAACAGTGCAACGTTTTCTCTACAATTTAAGACTAAGGATGGTAAACATTTGAGAATGCAAAACATTTTGAGAATGTAGACATTTGAGCATTAATCAATCATCAAAAGAGAAAAGGCAAGTAAGAAAGAAAGAAAGACCACAATTTCTGTAACTGAGGTCAATAGTTCAACAAACGCTAGCACATACCCCATAAAGGACTTTTTAATGCTGTGATCTCTTAAGAATAAACAAATGTTATAATCTCAAAAGCTCCAGCAAAATCCAGACAAGCATAAAGTTTGTAGGTAGAGTGTATAGATAATGCAAGAAATACTGTACTGAAGTCCTTACCTGATAATGCTTCCAGTGCGGACAGATATAACAGCATTCGCATAATCATGACGATAAGCCCAATAATCAAAAAATGCCCATACCAGTTGGGCGATACTCTCTATATTGCGGGATCCAAAATCACGAAGGTCCTCAACACGATCAAAGTAAGCACATTCAATATCATCTACTGTTACAGTATAAGTTGCATGCATTTCCTGGCATGGAAGTAACAGCATGAATTAAGAAAGTTAATCCTCAAATAGGAGAGGATACAACAGCTCTTTAACAGTCAGAAACATGAGCAAGCCACAAGTACATTTAAGATGGCATTATTAGGCTAAAACTTGGCAACCTATAAACTATGCTTTTAAAAGGGGATAGAAAAAGCTTTTGCCGATAAAGGAATATAAATATAACTGAAATAGTTCAGAACCAAACAAATTTTGCCTGCCCCTTCTATATTGAAAAAGAGCTACATAGCAGGAAAAGATATTTAAATGTGCCATGATAAACAATGGCAGATCAGTATACAATTAGGGTACTCAACCAATTATCCATTCTTTGTTCTATACCAACATCCGGTCAAGCAGCAGTAATTACTGAAGACAATTCACGAGAGAGTGAAACAATAAAATGCAGCTGATGGATGGAGAGTTTCCAAAAACATACACTGACTCAACAATTTCTTTATACAAATAGGGAAGGAGAGAAATTTTTAAGAATTTAGATTATTAGATTTCTTAAAAATAGAGACCTCAGGAATAAAATGAATTTCCAATGTTCAGAGAACTGGAGCAGGCATAGAACTGGAAAAGGGAGCTCACAGTTCAGAGATTCAACCAGGGCCAAACCAGAGGTCGAACTGTGATGATGCTACATATATGTATATATACTGTGGGTGGTATAAATAATATAATATATTTTCCAAATTATATTATATTGGAATGTGATGGATGGATGGCGAGTTACTTACTTTTTAAAGCAAATGACCAAGGTTCAAAGCCTCTTAACTCACATATTCTTTAAAATACATGTGTAATAAAGTAGTATGTAGCTATACAATAGTCATTAATTAACACAAAGAAATGAATTAATGATAATTGAGCAATACACATAAATAAGAGGTAATCGGTTCAAGTCTTGCCATAAGCATTTTGAAATTTCAACTATTTAGTGACCCAGGCAACCGGTTCATTGGTTCCCTCATTAAACCATCGAGTTAGCTGGTTTTGACCATTTTTTGGAATTCTAGTTTTTAGGGTAAGACTGAACCGGCCAGGGACCTGTGGGCTCCACTGTTTCATATTTTCCCTTATTTTCTTCTTCAATGGCAAAATATGGTGCAGCAAAAGAAATAAGCAAACTAGTAGATTGAAGGCTGGAATCAGCCCCAAATGAAAGATTTAGGAGGCATCTGATAACTGCTAAAATAGGTGCTGAAAGTGGAAATGTGGAATTAGCTTAAAATTGAGTTTCTTGTCACTTTATTAGTGAATAAGCAATTAAGTAAGGCACAAGCCCCCCTTAATTGCTGAAAGGCATTTTGAGGTAACCATTTTACCTATATATATATATTTCACTACATGACTACTTTATTCACTAAAAGACATCAAAAAACAATTAATTCACTTATAAGACAGACTTGAAATGTTGAATCACCCCTCTGTAAATTTGGAAGCTTTTCAGAACCCCTTTCAGCTCCTATTTCAGCAGTTATCAAATGCCTAACTGTGGAGGTAGTCCCACTGGGTTTCTTAGTCTGGGCAGTCAGTTGGCAAGAATTCCCAAAAAGCTTTTTGCTTCTTAAGGATTGGGTTTAGGCTGTTGACGAGTTTTCCTCTCTCTCTCTTTTTTTCTTTGTCTAGCTCCCATGGTCAGCAGTTTTGTTTTAGTTTTGGTTAAGTCTCTGATGAAAGAGTGCTCCTGCCTTTCTCCATCCGATTCTCCATAAGTTTGTCATAGCCTTCTTTTTTTATCAATAACAGGAAAATTCCATTAATTATGGAAAAAGATACAATAGTGTGGCCTTCTTTTGATGCAACCCACTAGGATTACAAGCTTGCAATGACACACTCCTTGAGGTTAGGTATACTTGTGTCAAATTGCAAGCGTATGAATTGTTCCCAGAGTGGGGTCGGGGTCCCTGGCTGTGCCAAGGATTTCGGTATCTCAATCACTATCATAATGATGGGCACATTTTTTTTACCTAAGTGAGAAGAGATTTGTAGAAATAGCCTTAATGCTTTCTGACTAGTTGTGGGAGAAACCAGAAAAAGGATTCTTCTTCCTTAAAAAAAAGTCCACAATTGATTATAATGAATGAAACTCAACCCTAATGTATCAAAACCCTACTAGGAAAAAATTCAGAAGACTCATTTCTTGTAACATGAGCCATCAAAGCATCACAGTGACTTGGTTGGATGGAACACCCATAAACTCGTATTGACTCTCAAGTCTTACATTCAAATGACTCAACAAATGACACAAATACCCCTGAAATAGAAGATGTTGCATCAGTTTATAAACAAAGTGAAAAAAAATACAGTATGGTTATTTCATTCCTTCAGCTGTTTCCAATTCACTTTTTCTAGTTTTTCATTTATCCATGGTGGTAAGATTGACACTAGGATTAGCTAGCTTTCCTAGTTCCTACACACACGCACAGACACAAATGAAAAGTTCCTCCTATTTCTTTCATTCTTTAGTGATTCCATCTCCCATCCAATAAAAATGGAAAAAAAAATAAAGATATATGTAACCTGTTCAAGACATCCTATTGTTCTCTGTACAACTTGAACTGAATGCCAAGAACAACTTTAAGTGGTCCCATACTCCACTGATGGAATAAAATTTAGAGTGATTCAAGACCTGGTCAGTGGTCATATTAGCTTTTGAAGAGAGACAAAAGTTAGCATCCATAGCTATGGCAGATTGGCAGGAGGAGAAGGAAGTTAATCAGTTGTGTGGTTCTAGTTCTACAGCCCAAGGAACAACAAGATGGTCATGACATTGACTTAACAGCACCATTTATGTAGTTCACACATGAAGCACCAAAACTCAAGGTACAAAAGCATTGTATAATTTATAACAAGGAGAACAGGTACAAAATCTACTACCTGTAAGCACGGAAGAATAGCAGGCTTGCGTGTTTGTAAAAAGTGAATGCACATCAAGACATACCTGAAAGCAATTAAAGATACATAATCATTATCTCACATAAAGAAATATGTACACCTCCAAAGCATGTTAGCTTTGAGTATATAATGTACATGTGAGCTCGTGAGTAACTCACGCATAACTAGATAATGTTCCTTGATATGTTTCATTGACTCTTCGTTTTTTGGCCCAGTGTTTCACAATAAAAGCCAACTGTCTTAGTCTGGCATCTATTTGTGCATAATCTCGAAGGAGCTTCGTATTAACAACAGCCAAAACATTATTTATGCAAATGTCACATGAGATTCCAGTGTCTGGATCCATAAGTTTCACTATAGGGACCCTAGCACGTGTCAGTGCCTGTAGTCATTGATAAAAAAAGGATCAAATATAGAAATTTGCATCCAAACGTTTAAGCTATATAATCAGCATTACAGATGCAAATGAGAAATTAAATAGTAAAAAAGCAATTAAATAAACAACACTCCAAGTTCAAGCATAAATTGTAAATAGAAAGATACAAAAGAAGTAAGGTTTGGTTTGACATAAATCTAAACTACCCATTAGGATGTTCAAAGATGAATAGATATAAAGAAGTTACTTGATAATGTACCTGGTTATCTGTACATTGGTACCATGTCATACCAGACACTTTTTAGTGTGAATTTCATTATCTGACACCTTGACCAGAAGCACTCATCATATAGGGATATTAATAAGCTATTTCTCTTAACTTCTAGTTTCTCTTATTTACTGTTTTTTTTGTGAATAAATGGTATTTTATTAAATAGAGATAGAAATAGTACAGGCATGAAGCACCCTAAGAGGAGGCACGAGGTGTTATCACCCCCCCCCCCGCCTAAAGGTGGTTCAAACCCAACTCTTTTCAGATTAGCCAAAAACAGAGGATCCCTTGAAGCCCCTTGTTTAGCTAAAGAATCTGCCAAAGCATTTGCCAATCTACTAACCCACTGAAATCTAACTGACATGATTCTTGTAAGCCATTTGGGTTAACAGCAGCCTAATAATTGTCTATTAGGACAAATTGAGATTTTTAGGCTCAAATTTAAGGGTTAACAGCAGCCTAAAAATCTATATCAAATTTTCTTGAATTCAACCTCTAGAAATGATGAAACAACCAAAATAGTTGCTAGTTGGAATAAGGCACTAAATGATATGACAATTTGGTCATACATCCATGTATTAATGAGAAGATTAAATAAATAAATTATTGCTATTGTATTTAACTTTGAATGATGGGTTTGAAGAACCATTAAATCTATGACTACCCACAATGCTCCTTCAAGTAGTTAATAAGCAAATTAAAAAGTTTACCCTTGTTTACAAAATAGAATTCTTTGCTGTTTCGATATGGAAAAGCTGATGAGAGTCCAAACTGATACCCAACTCACCTGCACATTCTGAAGGTTATCTGAATGCAACATATCTGCCAATTTCAACAAAATCTCAGACTTGCTAATATCCGAATCTTCAATTTCAAGGCAAACATCAATATCACTATTGGAAACCCCAAATGAGTTGGCACAAGATCCATAAAGAAACAATCGAGCACTAGGCCATTCTTTATTGACCAGTTTCTCCAATGATGTTAGTAAACGTTTCTGCTTTGCCTTCTCTTCTTCTGTTGGTATTAGAGATTCATAAATTGCAAGGAAAGGGGCATTGAGCCTTTCTATGTCACTGTGATATTCCAATACTCTTCTATTGTTTCTTATCCGCTGGCCAGGTACTCGGAGTCCTCTCAATATATCTGACCTGATATCCTGACCAGAGAGAGAGTGTGTGTGCGAGAGTGAGAAACAGAGTTCAGTTACAATAATTTAGCATAAGAAAGGGATTACAAACATCCAACCTTCCCAGATGGGTGAGGCACAAATAAATTTGAAAGCTTATCATCAAGTCTAACATTAAAGGGAGCAAAAGCATGGAATTAATATCATGCAGATGAAAGTAATATTAATAGTACAACTGCAGAGTCTCATGCAATACTGAGAAGTTATAATGTATAGCACCAACATGAGCCTTACAGACCAGAAACTAACCTAAGGAAGTATTTCTCCAAAATATGGACTAACACAACCTTTTTTTTTGCACTATTATCCTTCTACAACATTGAAATACATTTTTCTTCCTTTATATGCAATTTCAACAAAAGAAAAAGAAAAAGAATTCTAGCTCTAGCAAAACAGAATATCCATAAAGAAGGTAAAAGTGGCATTTTACTCGAAACTATTCAGAGTAAATAAATGGGGATGGAGTAAGTGGATTTGACTGATGAGGATTAGAAGGGTAGCACATTCTACTATAAGAAATTTAGCAATAAGAGTAGTAGAAATCACTAATTGCAGATTTAGTCGGCACAAGATGTGGGTGAAGCTTTCAGCAAGTATCTCTTGTGTGCTTAGGCTTCTTACAGTAGTCACAGATCAAATATCTTTTATCTTCCTTCTTGATTTCACTGCCACCCCGATCTCCACTTTGTTTAGGTTTCACAGTACTCACCCTGGCAGACTGATCAGAGACATGATTTTTTATCAATACATCTCTCCTGCTCTCCTCCCCAGACACAAAGGCATATGCCTGAGAGAGGGTAACACTATCCCTGGAAAGAAGATGTTGTCTTGCAATATCATACTCAGGATTAAGGCCAGCAAGAAATTCAAACACCCTATACTTCTCTAGATGTTTCTGATGGATAGCTGCATCCTTAGTGGTTTCCCAAGCAAATGTCTCTAAATGGTCAATCTCCTGCCATAGGGTTTTAAGGGCTGAAAAATAGGCTGCAACAAGTCTATCTCCCTGCCTTGTAGAAATAATCTGATTTCTCAACTGATAAGCCCTAGCAACATTCTCCCTCTGTGAATAGGTTTCTGCAACCCCATCCCATATTTCCTTAGTTGTATTTGCCCATAACAAATTTTTACTTATATGGGGCAACATGGAATTACACAACCAAGTCATCACCATATAATTCTCCTGTACCCACCGGGAGTTGCTAGTTTCGGGTTTCACCTCTTCACCAGTGATATACCCTAATTTCCCACGAGCACCAATAGCCATCTTTGCAGATTGTGACCATTCTAAGTAATTTGTACCATCCAACCTAACTGTAGTAATGGTCACAGCCCCGAAAGGGTCTCTAGCACCTCCTCCCACTGGTCCCATTTCACTCCCGGGCTTATTTTCAACTCCGTGGTCCTCCATGCTTCTCAAAAAATGTAATGAAAATAACTGAAATTTGCAACAAGATCAAACAAAACACTTTTTGGAACCAACAACACCTTCCTGGTGTCCTAGACTTTCTTCCCACAAAAGATTCCTTTTCTGTGAGATAGGAGAAGAGAGAGAAGAGGCAACCGCTCTCTCTAGAAGCCTCCAAATCAAGCAGGACTTGAATCGCCCCTTACAAAAAACTCCAAGGAACCCTAAAAAATTAGGGTGCACTTCCTAGGTCAAAATTGAAGAGTCCAACAAAAACAAGACTCTTCCCCTTTATCCAGTTTTTCCTAATTTTGATGAGAAAACCTAGACCAGCTATAGGGCACACAGACCCACCAAAAAAATCCAAAAACTGGGCTTACCTGAGAGCTTGGATCAGCCTCTTAAATCACCATGCAGTTGGCCGATCTAGAGCTGCATGAGAGAACAACTGAAGGAACCTTCGGTCTGCTCTGATACCAAGTAGAAATCACTAATTGCAGATTTAGTTGAGTTTCTTGTGAAAGGAAAGAGGAGGAAGATGAAGATTTCAGCAGTAGAGAAGAAGAAAAGAGTAGGAAGTCAACCAGGATTGTAAAAATTAACCCTAGCCGCCAACCTCTCATTATATTTATACTTAACTTAAAGGATGAGATATTACAAGGATGCCCTTAGTAGGGTGGCTACTAATATAGCTGAACAGTCACAACTTAAAAAAACATACACTAATGGGCCTAAAGCCCAAAAACTTCCTAACTAAATAAAAAACAACTCGGACCAACTCAACAAGAGTTATAATGAAAGGTGAAATATATATGACATAGATGCTGAATTAAGATTTTTTATTGATAATGAGAAAAGATTTATTAGAACAATCAAAGAAGAAAGAGATACAAATAAAATAGACACTTCAAGGAGAGGGAAGACCTAAATCCAAGTATTAAAACAACAAGGGAAACAACAAAATGGAAAAACAATAATAATAATAAAGATAGAAGAAAACCTTCAGATAAAGAAACAAGATAGAACAATTGTTGTGTTAGAGATGCCAATAAAAAAATTTGTAATGCTTGATTAGATAATTAGAAGATAGATGACACACACCTGCAGATATCACATCATGTACATCAAAACTAACTCTCATCCATTTGATCAACTAAAACAAGTCTAGTTATAGATTACACACAAGACATTCGATCTCCCTCTAATAGCTCAGATTGGCACTCAGAAACAAATTGTAACTGAATAGAAACCTGGATAAACCCATGAAGGTGTGCCCCTACTAGGTTCATAGGAGAAGCACATTTTGTAGGGTGTGCCTCACCTTTCTTCACTATATTTTACAAATTGAGCTGTTGTTTTTAATCATTATAATGAATCTTAAAATCTGGGGTTCAATGGGTAATTTACTCTATCATAGGTTACACAATTATACCTATGAAATTTAGAGTTTAAACCAATGTTTTAAAAGGTGTGGGAGGTGTATGCCTAGAGAGGCACCTCCAGGCGAGGCGCCCCCAAAACACCCTGAGGCGTATGCCAGAGACGCTAACACCTTTGACGTGTACGCCTCATAGGCTCACATGCTTTTTTCATGAGGCATGCTAGAGGTGTACGCTTCATGCAGACCTCATGTAAAAAGATAGAAAAAAAGAAAAAAGAGGAAAAAAGGAAAGGAAGGGAAAGGGAAAGGGAAAGGGAAAGAAAGGACAGGGGAAGAAAAAGAAAGAGAAGAAAAAAAAAAAAGAGAAAAAGAAAGAAAAGGGAAGGGAAGATAAGGAAAAGGAAAAGACCCCCTCTTTCAACTAGTGCTTTGCATCTTCATTTTTCTTAATATAATTTTTTTTAATAAAAATAAAGAAAATTGAGATTTTTCTTCCTCCTCTTAAGGAGGCTTACACCTTACATTTTGAACTACGCCTCATGCCTCTAGGTAGTGGAACGCCTCACATCACGCCTCCACGTTTTAAAACATTAGTTTAAATAGCTTACCCTACCTAGTGCTACGCATCTTCTAAACTAGTGCTATGCATCTTCATTTTTCTTAATACTAAGTTTTTTCATGATGTGGCTAATGGGAGGAGGAGAAAGAATTTTGTGTCTAAGCTAGAGATTGGAGAGGAGGTGATAGGAGCACAGCTAGGCCCATTACCGTTGTTCAGTCCAGCAATATGATACCCATACAACCTTATCCGAAGACCTACGTGAGAGGACCACGTCAGCCAGTTAGTTACAACTGAATCATACCCATGTGATGTAATGGGCTATAAATAATAGAATAGGAATAAAGGGGATTACCTTTTTTGACCACCAAAACCGTCATCTCTTCTCTTCTCTTCTCTTCTGTAGGAGGACTGAGCTCCCTCGAAGAAGCTCCTGATCTAGGCAGAAACCTACCAAGTGGTATCAGAGCCCAATCTTGGGTCGACACCATGGTGGGAACAAGAACGTCCGTTAGCGATGACCGTATCGAGAAACTAGAAGGAGATATCACTGAGATCAAGGCGGCACTATCAGCGGTCTTGGCCAAGCTGGAGAAGGCATCAGCGAGAACACAAAAGGCTAAGGAGAAGGTAGCAGACAACCCAACAACCGATCTGGAGGAAACGGAGTGTTGCGGCAGACCAAAATCACCTTCCCGAACTTCTCAGGTGAGGACCCTGTACCGTGGATTTATAGGGCTGAGAGGTACTTTGAGTGCCATGAAATATCCAGAAATCAGAGGGTTTCAATCACCGCTATCCATCTGGAAGGAGAAGCAATTCTCTAGTTCTAGTGGTTTCGCCGGTCACATCCCCAAGTGACTTGGGCGGATTTTACCGATGCTCTATGTGTGCAGTTTGGACCCACTGGATTCAAAAACTACGATGAACAAATGGCTAAGTTAAAACAGACTGGTATAGTGAGAATATTAGGTGGAATTTGAGCATTTATCTTCAAGGATATAGGGGTGGCCAGAAAATGCCCTGTTGGGCAGTTTTATCAGAGGGTATTCGAGTGGAGGTGAAATCCATGCAACCCCCGATAGTCATGGCTGTTGTAGGCCTGGCCAAGCTTTATGAAGAAAAATTCGGCAGACTCAGAAGACCACTGAGTCGCCTTCAAGGACCCCTCTTGAAGACAGAAGCAGCCCAGACCCAATCACTAATGGGCCCGCTAAACTAGAGAACCAAGGCTTCAAGCCCAACGTCCCCTACAAAAGGCTGACATGGGCCAAGATGCAGGCCCGTAGGGACAAGGGCCTATGTTACAACTGTGACGAACGGTTTAGCCCAGGTCATTGACGTAAGGCCCAACAGGCTTTCTTGCTACAGAAAGATGGGTCGAAAGAGAGAGCAGGCGGTGGAGGGCCTTGAAGAAGACAACCCAACTAGCCTTGATATGATATTTGGGCTTGGCCCGCCCGAGTTTTCCCTACAAGCCCTCACAGGCCTCACGTCATCTCAAACCATGCGTGTCATGGGTAGATTGAAGGGCCGGGAGGTATCTATTCTGGTGGATAGTGAGAGTACCATGAATTTCATTTCATATGACTTGGCCATCTAGATGGGGGTGACCATTAGAC